TACATATACATATACATACATATAATACAATGGATAGTTCGACAGACAGGTAGGTAGGCCGTTGGATAGATTGACATATATAGTGTTATATATTCTAATACCGACACGAGAGAGTCCTGTATCTAGACATTTCGGAGGGGAGCCTTTGTTTGGATTTGGATACTTCTTATAGGGTTTCGATCTAGATTGCTCTTCGGATGCTTCTCCATAGGCCGGCTCGGGGGGGTCGATTAGGGAGCTTCCTGGGTCAGTCGGGTCGGGTTTCGGGGTCCAGGTGGCTTCTGGGGGATTGGGCTGTCTCGGGGCCGGCTCCTCTTCCTAGAAGGCATTGGCGGGGGCCGAAGGGTTTGGGATCTTTGCGGGTGGTTGCTGGGCCACAATCGTCCGAATTGCGCTTTTGCTGGTTCTAGTTAATTTGAAATGGTTTTAAGTTATTTTATATAGGATGCGCAAGGAAATTCTTGGGGTTTTATAGAAGAACCCGGTTCTACCCGTACTGGAACCCATCTTTACCCATACTAGAACCCATAAATTCGCAGCCAAAACCAGGTTCTCAGCTAAAACCCGGTTTTGCCCAACCCGTACTAAAACCCATCTTTACCCGTACTAAAACCCATCTTTAAGCGTACAAAAAAGATGGGTTCTGGCCTTGTGTCAATATATGGATTCAAGCAAGGTTTTTATAGAGTGTCGCGGGGTTTATCAACTGTCTACAACCCTCGGGATGCTTTCGGCTATCCAGAGTAGCCCCTCAAAACCCCTCGAAGCCTGGAGACCCGGAGTCCTGTGGCCGCAAAACCCAAAAAGCTCTGCCCGTGCTAGTGGAGTCGAGGATGCATGCCTGCTTGGTCTAGCCACCATACAGGATTGTACGCCGTAGCTGCATGCATGCTACTCGCGAAGCATCATTACAAAGGCTTTTTGTGCTCAGAGCACCCCGGAGGCCCTTCTTAGTTGGAGCCCCGGCCATGTCTAAGCAGTGGAGCTGTGCATCACTGCAAGCAGGGTATCAGGTTGTTATGGGCGAGGAATCCGAAGCCGAGTTGGCCCGCCAAGAGGCAGTGCTCATGAAGCAGATAGAGGTCTCTTGCCATAACACCAAATGTCCCTATCTACAACGAAAGGGTTCCCATGTTCATTCAATACATGCTCCCCTTAATTAAGTCTACATATAACCTTCTCCCGCCCTAGGAGATGGAACGTGCATCTTCGATTCCGATGCTGCCCTCCGAGACGGCGGCCCTTGCTCCCCAGAAGGTGCTGCCCATTCGACCTGTGTTCGAGATTCAACAGGAAGTCTAGAGCGGCATCGCACCCCACAGCATGTGTACATATATATGTATATAAATATACACATACATGTGTGTGTGTGGTTACTAACATGTACATATGTACTTGTTTTCGCCACATTCCTGTATCTAATGTGTATGTATGTATGTATGTATGTATGCATGCATGCATGGATGCATGTATGTATGTCTGTCTGTCTGTATGTTTGTCTGTCTGTCTGTCTGTCTGTCTGTCTGTCTGTCTGTCTGTCTGTATGCATGGATGTATGTATGTATGTATGTATGTATGTATGTGTGCACATGCCTGCATCTATCTTTGTACGTACACAGGCATGTCTGTATGTGTGCATGTAGACGGGTATGTCAAAACATATCTACATATATAAATATAGATATAATATATACGGATTGCATGCGAATGTACATATTTGTTCACACACGCATGTCTGTATGTGCCTGGGCATATCTATATCTACTATACATGTATGTATGTATGTATGCATGCATACATACATGTATGTATGTACTTGTGTATGTACGCATGTACATGTGTATGTGTGTCGTATGTACATGTGAGCATGAATATACACCACGGGCCCATACACCTGGGGTGCTAGACGAATTTTCGGTCTTATCTGAGGCTGACGAGGAGGCCTTGACAATCCCTGCAACAGCCACTGGCTTGCATGATTTGAGCTGTGTAATTAAGACTCCTACATAGACACTTGCTTTGTTTCATGCATCCCTTAGGTTGAAGAGCTGCAGCAGAACCTCCAGACCCTGAATCCTCCACCTGCCCCTCCTGCTGCTGTACAACCTGAAGAAGTTGCTGCCACTCAAGTCGTGGCAGCTTCCTGGTCTGAGAGTTTAACGTGCCTGAAATGCTTTCGGAACTCCATCCCAAATATGAATGGATGCCACAGCTGAGGACGGCCCGGAGCCAGCTGCGGAGTCCACGATATCGGAGCCACCTGCCAAGAAGCCCAAAAAGGAAAAAACCCGAAGAGTTCCTTGCTTCAAATAATGTCCGCACAGATAGCCGTAAATAATCATGCACTGCTCCCATGCACGCACAGGAACTGCTGCGAGAAGCAGCACGTGCCCGCATCCTTCGAATGATTGCTCCGAAAAAGAAACGAACGGACCTAAATGTGCCAGACTATGTCCGCGAGCAGTGGCAGACTGGCACGAAAGCGAAGCAGGAAATGGAGGACTTGCTTTTGGAGCAGAATGGTGACAAGGATCGGGGGGTCGGGAGCTCTATATAATTAGGACCCATGCATGTCGTACTGTGTGCTTGGTTTCCTAGTATCTGGTCGAGGAGAAATTCTTGTCTGAGCTTTTGCTCATCGTGAAGAAAATCAAGAAGTTCGTGCTCAAGCAGGATCAGGGTTGGTACTCGGAAGCTGAGATGAAATCGGAGTTGGGATGGTCAGCGCCGGGGTCTCACATGTGTCTGTAGTTATGCCACTCTAAGAATTATAACGGTCTGTGCTGAGTCTTCCTGATGCTATCCACCAGCTGTCCCTGCCTGCCAAGGCAACGGATCGCGGGAGCCAAGAAGGTGTGCGAAGCTGACCTTGCTTTGCACAGGTGCACAATGCATGGCTGCATGTTTTTTTTTATAGTCTGCACCACCTCACACTGCAGTGCCGGTCCTATCTGGGAGGCGGAATCAATACGACGGCCAGTGGGAATACTATGTGACCGTTCGCGAGACGGCTGTGCACAAGCAGACGCATGAAATTACGGAGGAGCAACGGCAAGCTCAAAAGGTGAGCTTGGCACATCTAGCGCTACGTCCTGTTGTGTCCGAAACCCTTCACTGCATCATGCTGAGGCTGCCAAACCTCTGGAGTTCAAGCCTGACGAGTTCGCAGACCTGGACAAGGCCCTGGCTCGTGGATCCCAGCCCGCAGAGCCTGCGGGAAAGCAGTCCGTGATGGAGGCTGCCAACACATCATGCATGCAGCCTCGATCCATGTGTATGTGCAACAGATATATGCAAGCCCCCTGCAACTAGAACCCCTGGCCAGCAAAAAGCGACGGCTCAGCGCTTTATGGATTCACTGCTGGCCAAGTGCACGAAGATCCGCACGCTGGTCAAGGACTTGAGAGACAACTATAAGAAGGACGGCGAGAAGTATCTTGCCTGCCCATACCCAGTTGTCTTAGCTTCTGCTTTGTGTTTTGTGTATATAGCTTGCTGCCTGGTGGCGGCCGAGGTCTATTGATGAGTTGGAGCAACATGTCGAGAAGCTTCAGGCTGAGCATTCGAAACTGACTGATCAGATGGCCAAAGGCGAGGCCGAAGGCTTCAACACAACGTCCGGGACTCAACTGCTCGGTCATGCTCAACAAGCTGAACACATGAACAAGTTCACTTTGGCTGCTCTTTGCAATTGCAATCATAGGTCAAGTTTACAATAGGCCTCTGGTGTTCTGATTCCCAGAAAGATAGCAGCAGCTGCTATGATGTATGCTCTTGCTTTCGAAATTAGAGCAGCAACCACTTAAATATATTCTCTGTTGTACTGACAATAAACAATATAAGTGTTTTACCATTATTGTCTTGAATCACAGTAGCACCCAGAGAAAACAGTCACACACACTCCCTAGCTACAGGGTGTATATGATAGCTATTTTCTTAGCTCTGCGACCTGGTCCCACCCGACCCATCTACTGTTGCTTCCAGCCTTCTGTCGGGCGAAACATGCTAAGGATGTTGCTGCTACTGGTGGTGATAAGAACAATAACTGATGATTGATCGAGTAATGATGCTTCTGTTATTATCGTTGCTTTTTGCCGCGGTGGTGGTCCTGGTGCTGACAACGGTGGTGCTGCGAGGTTGCTGGAGCTGGCGGTGCTGCTGCTACGATTAGCTGCCAGTAGTGCTGGTGGTGTTGGTGTTGGTGTTGTGTGGGTGTGGGTGTGGGTGTTGGTGTTGGTGTTGGTGTTAGGTGTTGGTGTTGGTGTTGGTGGTGGTGTTGGTGGTGTTGCCTTTGTTGTTCTTGTTATTGCTGCTGTTGTTGTTGTTGTTGCTGTTGTTCTCACTTTGTTGTTGTTGTTGTTGTTGGCTCCGATGTTGTTGTTGTTGCTGTTGTTGTTGTTGTTCTTGTTAGTTAGTTTGTTTGTTTGTTTGTTTGTTGTTGTTGTTGCCGCTGCTTGCTGCGAATGCTGTCAGTACCTTTGACCCATTCATAACTTGAGTTTCTGTGGCCATCCCGCTTGACTAGGTGGTGGTCAAGCATGGACAAGAACATCCGTGCTGCAACTTACGTGCTCGCATCTTAGGATTTTACTTTCATTTGTCCTGAACCCTATAAACAAAAGCCGGCCTCTCGAGGACGAGCCGTGCCACGGCCTCTGAGCTGCAGGTTCGGTGGCCGGGCTTCAAATTCGTGAAAGAGTTGGAGTGCTTCCTTGGTTATATTTAAGAGCTTCTACATATAGTGTTTGCCACAAACCCAAGGAATGCCAAAAAATTCTATGAGAAGACCTCGGCTACAGCGATGCCGAATCCTGGGGGAGAGCGTCCCAAGGCACCAAAGGCTAAGGCGAAAGCCGTGGCCAAGACTGCTGGCAAGAAGTAGGGATGTTCGATAGCTCACACTACTGTTGTGCCAGTGCTTTGGTTCAGCTCCAGTGTGTTCACTACAGACACGCGGGAGCTGGATGATTCGGCTCGTTGTGTGGACATGGCCACACATTTGTTTATGTCTGGGCCATGTTTGTGTTGTGCTCACTTAGGATTGGATTCAAACCCCTAAAGCTCCCTATAAAGTTTCTTTGTACCTGTTATCTTTACCACATGATTGCTTTGTTCGAAACTCCTGAAGTAGATTTAGGAGGGCTCATGCGAGCACAACACACACGTGTTCTCGAAGATGTTCCTGGGTTCGCTACCCCAACAAAGGTGGCACTGGATCTTAGGACCCTGGGGATCAGCGAGGTTCCTGTAGGGGCAAAACCAGGATCGTGAAATCCCTGGGCTGTGATCCATGCAAGCCGTGCTACCGCTGCAAAAGAAGGCTAGATGGCTTCATTCCTCGTTCCGAAGCTTGAAAACCCATATAAGGCTTCGATTTCTTACACAGCCAAGCCAGGTACCGGGCCAGCCATTCGGCACTTGGCGCACACCGTGGGCGAAGGTGCCCGAGCCTTTGAGCGAGGGGCTGCATGGATGCTGTCAGCATTTATGAAGACTCGTTGCTTCAGTTGGTGTCCCAACACTCCTCAGCACAAAGGCTCGATCGATGTTAGGTGTGACGTGCATGGTATACAGTCTATGTCGATCCAGCTTCGTATCTAGTTCTATAGATTCTATATGTATGTATGTATGTATGCATGCATGCATGCATGTATGTATGTATGTATGTACGTGTGTATGTATATATGTATCTACCTACTAATATATGTATATATATATATATATATTTGTATATATACATATATATATATATAAAAGTATCTGTCTGTTTGTCTGTCTGCCTGTCTGTCTGCCTGTCTGTCTGTCTGTCTGTCTGTCTGTATGTATGTATGTATGTGTGAATGTATGTATGTATGTATGTATGTATGTATGTATGTATGTATGTATGTGTGAATGTATGTGTGTATGTGTGTATATATGTATGCATGCATGTATGTCTGTATGTACGTATGTATGTATGTATGTATGTAGGTATGTATCTACATATGTAGCTTGCCTGAGAACAATGGAGAGCCCGGAATCCGAGCTCCGTGATCTTCTGCAATGTCACAGATCGGTGCCCTGCTTGCACATTATAAACGTGTCTTGGTGGGTCGTGTGTACACAAACCTAACATGGCCTGACTCTTTGAGGCTGAACAAGGGCCATTTCCATGGCCAGCACCGACAGTGCCGGCATCCGAATCGACCCCGCCAACAACAAGTTCCTGTGTGTCCCAGCCTGCAAAGACTCGTCGGTGCCGATGGAGCACATCCTGGCAGCAGCACGTGTCCGAGTCTGTTCTTTCGGATGAGGAGTTGAAGGATAGTCTTCAACGTGTTTCTGACCATGAGAAAATACACTGGCATTTGCCAATGCAACTGACGACAGCAGGTGGGGTCTTGGCTCACGCATCTCATGTCATCACTGTTCTTCTTCATCTTCATTCACCCATGATCTTCAAAGTGGGGTTCACTCACGATGCTTGCTGGCGATGGGAAAACCCTATCTATGGCTACAAACAGGACAAAGGTCATAAGTGGGAATGCATGTGCATCCTACATTTGTCCGAAGAACCCGGCACACCATCTATGCTCGAAGCAGCCCTCATCGACAAGTTCAAAGGCAACTCAGACTGCAGAGAAGTTTTATTTCCAGTGCTGGCCACACTCATGTGCAAGCTGTAACATGTGATGCAATCGCTGCCAAGACGTGCCTGGATGCAAAAACATTCGATCTGGCGGCGACAATGTCAAGATGGGCACGACGACCTCAGCTTCGGTGTACATGACTTATATAGTGTACAGGTCGTTTAAATTCAAACCCAACTGAGTTTGGTCATGCAGATTTCACACGAAGACAGCTGGGGAAATGCGAAAACGATCCGATGTGCTCGTTCCGATCATCTGTGCATCATTCGAGCTGTGCTTGTGCAAACTGACCCACCTGTTGAGATGCATGTCCTCCCCACCCCAACCCCCTCGCCAAGGCTGCTTGCAGATCGGTGGTGCGGTCAGCTCGGGCAACTATCGAAGAAGTGCCAGCGGCAGCTTCATCTTCCGTTGGACTTGCTGCTCGTTGTACTGAACACAATGCTGAGAGAGATTTTCATAAAATGGCCCAGCGAACGGGGCTCATGCTTCCAGTGGATATCAGTTCTGTCATGCTGGATGAAGCAGTTGATGTGATCAAGTTATCTTCTTGGGGCCGTTTTTTTCTGGGCCGGAATCTCTGGCATCTCTTGTGTGGACTTCAGGCTCCGGATGAAGAAAGATGTGGTTTCATTTGGGGGAGCTTTTGGGAAAAATACCGTGCAATCGCTCCACTGCACCCTGTCTTCAACAAGACTGCAGAACAGCTGCAAAGGACCGTGGCGGTTCTGCTCCACGGGGACGAGGGCCGGTCAAAGAAAAAATACCCTCTGTTGGTTCTCTCGTGCCATAGTGTACTAGGGTTTGGCAGTGGTGTTGACTCAAAGTTGCAGCATGTTGAGCTCTACGATAAGCAGGAACTCAATTGGACAGGGCATACAGCTGCAACCCGATGGCTTCTAAGTGTTCTCCCTCGATCCTACTACGACGACGATCGATCAGACAATTATCAGCTGCTGCTGAAGCATTTAGTCGCCGACATGAAAGAGCTTTTTCATAAGGGGCTTGTGAATCCGGTCACTGGCAAGACCCACTTCTTCTGCATCCTCAACATCATCGGGGATTGGCCGTTTCTGGCGAAGTCGTTCCAATGGACCCGCACGTTTGGAAATTCCGCAAAAAAGGCCACTTCAAAACAAGCGGCCAAAGGCATCTGTCATGCTTGTTGGGCGGACAAACCGGGATACCCCTGGGAGGATTTCGAGAGCGCCGAGCCGAGATGGAGACGAACCTTGAACCGTGACGAAGCTTATGATGCGAAGCCGGTCCTCATGGAGCTCCCACACGATCCCGCAGACCCCTCAGCTTTTGCAGGTCAAGACTATTTCCATGGATTTCATTTGGGAGCTGGAAAAGTTTTCGTTTCTTCAGCACTCGCCCTCCTTTCAAGCATGTTCCCTGGTGGGTCGTTTGCAGCACGCTTCAAGGCCATGGAAACCGATCTATTTGCGTGGTGTGCTAGGTGCAAGCAGTATCCATACATCCGAAAGTTCACGAGAGACACCATCGGCTGGCCGCATTCTACAGAGCCCCCTATGGGGGGCTGGCACAAGGGCTCCACAACTTTGGTCCTTTTGCGATGGTTTTTGTTTTGCTGTTCACAGCGACGAGGCAGCATCACGCAAGGCACTCTTTTGCACATGACCTGGGAGGCTGCTTGGCAGATTGACATGTTCTTCAGTCGCATTTACAGAGAACAGATTTGGATTCCAGCAGCTACTTCGAAAGAACTGGCATCTCGGGGCCTACTTTTTCTTCAACTGAATGGACGATGTGCTCGAGAAGCCTATCGACAAGGATTGCCATTTTTTCAATATATGCCAAATTTGCACCGCCTGCACCATCTTTTCTTTCAGGCACGAGACCAAGCCGCACTGGCAAATTTCACCCTGAACGGCATGATTTATTCATGCCAGTTAGAAGAAGATTATATCGGCCGCCCTTCCCGGGCAAGCCGGCGGGTTCACACGAGAACAGTCATTCGAAGAGTATTGCCGCGCACACTCGAAGCAGCACGAGCCCAAATGTTTAAGAATGGATGGCTAAGAAGCTAGCTGACAAAGGGGTCCGGAGCAGCAGCTGCAGCTGAAATTCATTATTTTGCATCCAGGGTATCATCAACATAATACATGAAATAGCTTAGCAATGTGTCTTGTTCAAAGTGTTGAAGCTGCATGCAGTCTCAGCCCCTGGCATGTGGAGCTCATGAAGTCGTCGTGGCACAGCTCGTCAAGCAGGAAAAGGCTGGATTTATTGTTGGGGATATAGTGGGGCAAGGTTCCTTATTCAATCCTACACCCAATCAACACACCCAAGTAGTCATCCGACAGGCTTTATTTGACAGCATCGTGCAACCACAGCATCTTCAAGTAAATCTATCTTGAGCCTGCAAAACGCCCAAAATCCAAGAACCTGGTTCTTCTCCGCAAAACCTGGTTTTCCCAAGCACCCCTCTTTTTATTGGGGTTTGGAGTCTGTAGGTAGGCTTTAGGATGAAGGGGTTCGGGGGATGCAGCAGCTACGTTCAGGCGCGGCAGGTGAAAACCACCACCGCAGCAAAATCGTCTCTCGCTCATCATCGTCCGCTATTGCCGTCATCATCAAAGCTCCCGTTGCCGCCATCAACAGCACCAACGTCTCCTGCACCTCCGTCGCCGTCAACACGATCACCACCGAGTCATCACCATTCGCAGCTTGTAGACATTCAGAGGCACAAACAGGCAACGGCATGATGGGACCACTGAGCCTTTGAGGCATCTTTGCATCTTCCTCCCTGCAGCCCCAGCCCAACATCCGCTCATATTCTGCAAGCCCGAACTGAGCTCCAAACCCTCAACATGGAAGCGTGCAGCATGCGTAAGTGGGCTTGACCTTGCTGTAGACTTAAGCTGCGTGAGGTTCTAAGGAACCCCAACTCTGAACATGCAACAACAACCCTGAACTTGCCCCTCAACCCGAAACCCCAAGAGCCCTCAATCCAGAACCTCTAAGCTCTCACACTTAGGACTCAGGCCCTAAATAATGCAAGCCCAGGCTCTCGAGCGCGAAAAGGGGATCCTCGGAGCGCTCATAGGCCTGGCTGGGGCCCCGGTGAATCCTTTGTTTGGTTTTTTTTGTTGCGTGGTTTCTTTGTGCTGCTGCTGTTTAGTGTTGTTGTGCATGGGTACTGTTGCCTTCTTGTGTGCGTGTGACTCTCTGTCTCTCTGTGTGTGTGTGTGTGTTTGCTCTGAGGGGGTCTCTCGCTTGCTCGCTCGCTCTCTCGCTGGGTTTAGGATGTCTCGGAAATTCATCGCCTGGGATCCAAGCCAAATATCGCGCTTCTAGCCTTCTAGCAACACCACATGTCACACAATGGCATGGTTCTTGCTAACTGCCGCAAATATCTACAAGGCAACCAAGCGTTTTGAATCCATCTTGCACCGTCTCTTGATACTGCAGCGGCACATTATCCGAAGAACCGCAATTATGAAATGTGCCTGTGAGCAAGAGTAGCAGCTTTCGCCGAAAGGCGGCACATTCTCCAAGCAGTGCTGCATGGCTTGTCGTCTCTAACGCCTGAAGTCTCGAAGCCTGTAAGTCAGACCAGGGTTTGGGAGATCTATACTACAATGATTGTGTTGAGGAAGCCTTAGGAATCATGCTCCAAATTCTTCAGACCTTTGTATTCGATCCCGATCCTTCATTAGCATGAGGATGGGGGAAAGGGGGGCGGGAAACTTGCCGACCGGCAAGAAACCAAACCTTGGAAGCTGCATGCTAACCGGTACACCGCATCGGCATGTAGCCTTCGCATTCTTCGCCCCGGCGCAGATGACATAGGGCACCTGAACAAAGCGGAGTTGAATATGTGAATCCAGAACCT